GGGCGGCGGGCTGTCTCGCCGCGTCAGTGGCGGAGGGGCCGTTGTGGCGGTTATTTTGCCGTTGGGGCCGTCCCGGGAGCTTGTCCCTGGGTTGTTTGGCAGGGCGCCCCGGGGGCTTCTCCGTGCGGCTGCGGCCGTCCGCAGTGGGGCCTGCAGCGTGCCCTAGTTCCTGCTTCTGCCGAGCACCCGTGCCTCCGGCAGCCTCCCGCGGCACCCGCGGCCGAAGCTTCTGCCCGCGGTGAGCCCGGCTCCTCCGCAGGGGCGCCATGAGCGCGACGGACTCCCCTCGCTCCAGAAGGTAGTGTGGGGGCTGCCTCCATGGGCGCCCCGCGCCGAAACCGCTCTGCGGGCTCTGGCCCCGGAGCTCGCTCTCTGTCCCGTAGCCAGGCTTAACGTTTTGTCCGCTTCGTACCTGCTGTGATTCCTTATCTTTGCGCCTTTCCGTTTCTACTCTTCTTTAGTTCGGTAAATAAAGTGTGCTTCTGTTAGGTTTTTTCTTCTGTCACTGTTGTTTATTTTTCTAAGCGTGGTGTTTAAGGCATTTCTGAGCACAGCTGGTGGGAAAGCTCCTACATGAAATAATCATATTATTGCATATTTAATACTTTTCTGCAGTGCCAGGAATTAGGGAGCTTGGCACGTTTTCATGGCTGTAACACAGGGGTTCTGAGCTAAGCAGCTTTGGTGAGCTGCTCCATAAAGGTCACTGCCTCGGTGTCACGTGCCAGATCACTTTATGATCAAAGTTCTGACACTGGCTCCAGAATAAGATTCTGGGCTGTATTTTTTGTTAAGCAGATCTTTATTAAAGAAGCTTCTTAGCTTTAACTGTGTCATTCATGGTATCATTAAAAGAAAGTGTCAGGTCAACATAATTAAAAGTGTGCAAGAGAATTTTGGCATTTGTGTGCAGCTCTGCAAATTTCATGCCGTTTGAGCAGATTAAATGCTTGAATGCAGCAAGCATTGCTTAAAAGAAATCAGATACGTAATTATACATCCATTTTGATTTAACTTATGTAATATTGACATGATTTCTATCTAGTACCTCAACATAAGATTCAAGAACTTGGAAGCTTCTATTTCACTATCAAGGGTGGACAAGCTATGTGGATAAGACATTAAGTATGCCAGAAAGGAAAGCATGTAGATTCTTAGACCTACACTTTAAATTATGGTGACTTGAGACAGCTAACTTGAATTCTTGTTTTTAATCAACAGTCTTTAGATAGGTTTTTCTCTCTGGATATCAGATAGTAATTGTCACGGATTATGTCTTCCTGTTTCTCTTACAGTTGCTGATGCTTCTAATTGCACAACAATGGACTTTTTGTCTTCTTTGTTATCGTTCTTTTCTTTCCTCCCCTTCCTTTCAGGTTCACCCTTCCAAAATAACCTGTGAGACTTTCCATAACATTTTTCTTTCTCCCTTTTCCATCAGTTGGCTCCATGTCCGCCATACAGTAAAGCCTGCAAGCTGTTCTGTATCAAAGCTTCTGGTTCTCCTCAATCTGATCTCCTGTTAATACCTGGAGCACAGACAAGATAATCTGTTTTTGAAATGGAACCTCTGTTAAAATTGAAAATCTATTTTTAACTATTTTAAAAAGTTTTTTAATTTTATTGCCTGAAGCTTATATGTCATTAGAAACTGTTTCTGTCTAGGCTGGCAACCCCCCATGTCTCATCCAGATATGCTAGTTCTCAGTCTCCAGGTCAGGAGGACTTTACTCCTCTCCCTTCAATCAATGAGCGCTTGGCCTTTCTCCGTCCCTCCCGGGAGCTGCTGGAATACTACCGCAAGAAGATTGCTGACTTTGATGAGGAACATGAGGATTTGGTAAAAAGGCTGGAGAGATACAAAGAAACGTATGATGAGCAGGTTAGGAAAAGAGTTTTTGGATGATGTTGGGCTAAGTATCCTTACACAAACAATATTTTTTCATCAGCTGAAAGCACAGATGGTCTTAAGATGTACCAATAATGTGGTAGAATTGAGCTAAGATAAATTAAGTAGGTTTCAGGGTTTGATTGTAAAATCTAGCTGTTTGACCTGTTTGTCAAAGCAAACAGAAACATGCCTGTAGGATATTCTATTCTTAAGTTGCAGTAGTTTGGTTATATCTTCACAGTGGGTTGGTTGTTTCTGTCATTTTAAAATTAAAGCCTGAGTTTAGATGTTTGATTTCCATGTTGTCCAACTTCTTTCCCTTGTTTGTCATAGTGAAGAATGAATGTTCTTTCGTCCAAATGTAGTGGGCTTTGAGATACAGATACAATTTGTATTTACTGCAGTGGAATTCATAAGCTTGGCTGTAGACTATTCAGCAGTATACTACTTGGCAAATAAATGCAAATTTAAAAGAGACTTCAAAATGTAAAAACCTTTGCCTTTTGAGAGGAAGAAAGCCTACAGAGTATCTGTACAATATTTAGTTCTCTTGATATGCCTTACAGCATACATCTGTCTAGCAGTCATCTTTTAATTGTGAATGGCCCTTTGGGAATACAATGATCACCTCTGAAGTGATTGAGGCCCCTTTATAAGTATTTGTCATGCTTGAAGCAGCCCAAAAGTCCTTGGGAAATATGTGGTTGTACATGTTATTTTCATTCAGCATATGGGAAAAAGAGAGGTAGGTTCCAAAATAGTGCCTTCTCTCCTGTGGGAATGGTTTTCAAAAAAACCCCACAGGTGGAACACCAGGTGGAAAATCACTAATGAAACTTAGTAACTAGCCAGATTTCTCACTACTAAACCATATGGATATTTTAATGTTTATTCTTTATTAATTTCTTTTAAGAGCAATGCTACTCCAGAGGCTTTGCTAGGTTTTTGTTGATGTCAGACTCCCCATACCTGTGCCATTCTGTCAGTTCAGAAGTGCAACCACTGGGAACAGGAGACCCTAGCTTAGGCCTTATAAGACTGTTGTATAGTGACAATGATTCTCAGGGTTCTGAACTCCCCGTTAAAACATTTTTTTAACAATTTTTCCAATACTGCCCTCATTTGGTCAAATTTTGTAAGAGGAAAAAAATAATTCACTTGACCTGGCAGTTGTTCTATACCAGTTACAGGCTCAGGGCACAAGCAGTCTGAATTTTCTAAGTGTTGCTCAATGCTCTGTATCATTTCAAGTACCTCATTCTCTCTACCTAGCACAAATTGCAATGGGAGGTTCATCAGCGAGAAGAGGAGATTGTGGAGTTGCAAAAGGCTTTGAGTGATATGCAAGTCTACCTCTTCCAGGAGAGGGAGCATGTCCTTCGTCTTTACTCAGAGAATGACCGGCTGAAAATCAGGTGTGCTGTCTTAGCTGGTGGGCTGGGTCACTGGCAGTAGCAATTGCATGCATTATGTTCTAGTTCTTACCCAGATCTCGAGTCTTCAAAGAAGCAATTATGCCACGCTTTCCAGAGAGGGCTCCTATGAAATAGTACCAGTCTTGGAGGTGGAATGCAATCTGTTGGGATGCTAAATATGTTTCCACTTATTATGCCTCTTATTCTGTTAGTAGAAGGAAGAGCAGAAGTTGATCATAGATTCAGATTTGAATTGTGAGTTGCCACTTTGAATGCGGAGGTTCTGATTTAAGCGGACTGTGGTGGGTTGACCCTGGCTGGATGTCAGGTGCCCACCAAGCTTCTCTGTCACTCTCCTCAGCTGGACAGGGGACAAAAAAATGCAATGAAAGACTTGTGGGTCGAGATAAGGACAGGGAGGTCACTCACCAATTACCATCATGGGCAAAACAGAGTCATCATGGGAAATTAATTACCAATCAAATCAGAGTAGGATAATGAGAAATAAAAACAAATCTTAAAACAACTTCCCCCCCACCCTTCCCTTCTTTCCGGACTCAACTTCACTCCCAAATTTTCTACCTCCTACCCTTGAGCAGCACAGGGGGACAGGGAGTGGACATTGCAGTCAGTTCATCATATGTTGTCTCTGCTGCTCCTTCCTTTTTGCTCTCTTCCTCTGCTCCAGCGTGGGGTCCCTCACATAGGAGACAGTCCTCTACTAACATGAGTCCTTCCCATGGGCTGCAGTTCTTCATGAACTGCTCAAGTGTGAGTCCTTTCCATGTGTCCATAACACAGGTTGTGGTCCTTCAGGAACAGACTGCTCCAGCATGGATCCCCCATGGGGTCACAGTCTCCTTTGGGCATCCACCTGCTCTGGCATAGGGTCCCTCCATGGGCTGCAGGTTCACCGTTAACTTCCATGGGTGCAGGGGCACAGCCTGCCTCACCATGGGCTGCCCCACGGGCTGCAGGGGAATATCTGCTCTGCCACCTGGAGCACCTCCTCCCCTTCCTTCCATGACCTTGCTGTCTGCAGAGTTGTATCTCACATATTCTCACTCCCTTCTGGCTGCTGCTCTGCAGTTTTTTCCTGTTCTTAAATATGTTATCACAGAGGTGCTACTACCATTGCTGATGGGCTCAACCTTGGCCAGTGGTGGGTTCATCTTGGAGCTGTCTGGCATTGGCTCTGTTGGACACGGGGGAAGCTTCTGGCATCTTCTCACAGAAGCCATCCCTGTAGCTTCCTGCTGCTGAAACCTTGCCACACAAACCCAATACACAGACCTTGTACCTGCCTGGCAAAACTTCCTCCTTCAGCCCTAAAAACATTTAAGCTCAAATAGAAAATACAGACCAAAGCAAAGTTTCCCCTCACTCTATGAGATCATATTGACAGCCACTCTTATTTAATGACATTTAGTTGGTGAACAGGAATATAACCTGCTGTATCAGACTAGCTGCCAGTGGCAAAGTAGTTCCATGCTTTCTTCAGAATATTTGTGGGTGATAATATCAAGTTTTCTATTAAAGTTTTAAGAACTTGTCAAAACATGTGTTGGTGTACTTTGTCACTTCTCAAGAGTGATGAAAAGTCTGATACAGCCCTTAATGTAGTTTGCTTTAAAACCAGGGAACAGTTAAAATCTACTGAATGAAGTATCTGAAAGTATTTTGTATACACCAGATTTTTATAAAGGATTTTATAACCAGAGTTCATAACTCTAGAATGCAAATTCTTTACCACTATGTGCTATGGCTATATCAGCCTATGTAGTAAAGACATACTTTAAGAGATTGCTTTTCCATGCCAGCAGAATCAGTGGTGTTACTACATCAGCAATGTCTTTGGGAGTGTGTTTTTAAAGCAGTGTTCTCAAGAACTTCAACAGTTTGGAACTTGCATTAATGAGTGAATTAGAAGGATAGTATGTCACAATGTCTTGATGTATTTTAAAATGACATGCTGACCACTTTCTTTGAATTCCAGGGAACTGGAGGATAGAAAAAAAATTCAACATCTCCTGGCTTTAATGGGAACAGACAAAGGAGAAGTTACGTATTTTCACACGGAACCTCCACATAAGGCAAGTTCCATTTGTCTGTAGAACTCTGCTTTTAATTGTAGCATGAAGATCTGTACCCCAGAGGCTGACCACAAACCAGATCTGTCCTGTAAGTCAAAAGTTTCTAAATGAGCCCAAAGCAGAAGGGATTTGTAGCTCTGTAGCAACATCCAGGTTTTAGTATAGCTGCTGACAGACAAATAGGAACAAGCACACTGGAAGCAGGTCCTCTTAGCATCAGTCCCCTTGTGTCTTCAAAACATACCTCCTGATCAGCCTCCTAAATCTCACATAGGAGTCTGAAACCATTTGGCAAATTGTCATTGAGAAGTTGGAGAGAACACCTCAAAGAGAAAGAGAAAAAAGGAACTGCAGAAAATGACCAGGTGTGGTGTTTGATGATCAGCTATCTCAGAGTGCCTATCTCTTAGGGCCTCAATAAACAATAAAGCAGTGTTGAGGTTAATGCAGCAGTTTGCTGGGCAGGAGACTGCAGAAGAGCCATCCTCTCTACGTAATATGGTATTGCATGTTTCAGAAATAATGTCAAATTAATTAAATGACCGTGCATATGAACTGCAGCATAGTTGAACCTACTAAAGGAAGTCACAAATCGGGAATGATTCAAACATACAGAGACTGATGGAATATAGGATTTATCTTGGAATAAGGTGCAGTAAAAGGCTGAAATATGCTGCATCATTTGTGGTTGCTCTGCACTGCTCAAGCAGTTCAAAAATTGCGCAGAAGCTTTGAAATTCCCTGATATAGAGTAGCTCTAAAATTAGACCTATTATATAGCATCAACCTCAACACGAGCATTGGGGTTATAGCGTGCTCCCTCATGGCCTCCTCTTTTTGTTAAGTGAGTTTCAGTTCAGCAGTTGAGTTGTTTAAATAGTTTTATTGGTTCGCTTTTTATCCCAGGCTTGTTCAGTAGCTTGAGTGAATATGCTGATAAATCAAGCTTTATGTTCTCCCTTGCTAAGGCAAGGAGGAGTATGAAAGAAGAAAATAACATAATCTTCATCTTCACCTTCCTCTTCTCTCTGTCCTCAAAATGCTCCTTTTCCTGCTGAGGGTGCTGATTTTCATCCTAATGAAGCCAGCAAAGGCAGGATTACTTTCCAGTTTCAGTGGAAAAAAAAAAATAGAGGCAGAAATGGCAAAACTCAGCCATGATAAAGGAAACTTTTCAACATGGACATTACACTTGTGAATGTCTTCCTTGTCTTGTGGTAGACATAAGGTAATGCTGTTCTTTTGGATATCTCATTTTACTCTTTAAGATTTGTTCTTAATCACTGCAACTTTGGAGAAGTCAGATGTTCACCATAGATATCTAATCTTGTTTCTACAGGTTACTGTTCTGCAAAGGCCAGCTAAATCCAGAGAGTCACATGAACAAAATGATACTACTAGAACAGGTACCACACCAAGCTGATTAACAGCAACTCAACTGTTGACACTTGTTTCTCTGTGTATTTGCATCGAGTATACAAAAATAATTCTTGACCCTGAATACTTTGACATACCTCCACTAAGTTCCCTGAATGTATCCATGTGTACATACATACACATGTCTTACTCTTGGCTTCTGTTCAAAATCTTTTAAAATAACCTAAGCTGGCTTTTGTGTCTATGATCTGCTCAGTTAAGGAAGAGGCTGGTATGACTGTGGAATGGCTGCTTTGGAACTGTGCAGGTACCATCTGGACAGGCACTGTTAGCCACAGCCTTTCCAAGGTGTGAGGTTCTGCATGCATTTAGTGTAGACAGGAGGGTGGATCTGTATGCCAATTTACTGATTTTCTCTTTTGAAAGAACTGCCTCTTCCAAATTGACTGAAATTAGCAAACAAGCTCAAAACTCATTCAAGGCTTGATGCTTGTGCAGCTGTGTCATCTGCCTATTCATCATTTCTTTAATAAAATTTAAGTTTGCTTTCTATATATGCCAAGAGAATTAGTAGGTTGCTAAATATTGTAGTGTAATAGTGTGGGATAAAGGTATGCAAACACTGTAAGTTCTGAAACTCTTTTCTTATAACTAGTCCTCCTAGAAGTCCTTGTGACTGTAGCAGTGGCTTGCAGGCCTGCCAAAATATACAATATTTCATGTTTGGAAAAGTACTGTGGGGAGATTGGAAAACCCTTTTCTACTTCTGTTAAATTTCTGCAGTAGCCACCAAGAGGAGCACTTCAAAACCATCAGTAAAAGGAAAGAAACCAGAAAGTCCTGAGAGATATCAGAGAGATAATCAAGCACTTCTACTTCAGGTAAAAACATTTTCTAACTGATGACGTAATTCCTGGCTGTCCAGGAAATTATGATAGACAAATATGCTGCCTGCTTAGGTAAGATGTAGACATACCAATTTTATTAGTTCCCACATCATACTATGGTTTTCTACTTTTTGTCTGTTTACGTAGCTGTTTCTTTGCGATGAATGTAGGCTTAGATCTTAGGTCTGATTCTGGAAGCTTTTCATAAGCAGTTGTTCCAGGAATGTCAACTAGAATGTGTTGCCCTTAAATACAGAATGTGTAATTGATATCTCCCATAATTTGGTTGTGGCTATGAATTTTTATTAAACTCACAGAAGATCTGCAGGGTTGGGTATTTTGTGTAAGTCTGAGAAAAGCAATGTGTCTGAGATGGAATTAGGCAGCCCCGATAATATGCACTAGTGCAATGAAATGTTCCCTTTACTAGACTTCCGTGAAAAGCAGGGTGTAGATAGCATGACAAAATGAAAGGTAAAATATATGGAATCATGAATTAAGGAAGATACCAGAAGCTGTATGTAGTGCATGAGGAAGGATGAGTCAGGAGAAGCAAATTAAAGAGCAAACTTGTACAGCAGATAGATGTATTTATTTATTTATTATTATGTGTTCAAGGGCAGTGGTGATTAACCTAGTGGCCAGTTAGCTGTCTAACAATATTTATTCTGGAGCAAAAGCATCATACAAAATTGTCATAAAAATAAGAGAGCTCAATATACACCAAGTTTTTTCAGATAGGCCAGATGGACATTTTTCAGTTACTTGTTCCTATTTGTCTCCCTGACTATGTGCCCTAGATCAAGATTCTTTGCATCCCACTCCTTCACTCATTATCTTGTTAACATTTAGTAATTAATTCTGGTTGAGTAATTTCTTTTGTTCAAGAAATTCCTAGAATTTAGGTATTTTCATATCACCATTTCATTGGAAGATGGTAGCATAGGGACAGACATGTCTGCATATTTCACAGGATTTGTCACATCCTGTGTGCAATTTAAATCTTTCTGATATCTTCAATCTATGTCTTGATGATTGTATGGTTTTTTTTTCTTAAAATGTTTTAGTTGTTTGAAATACTTAGCATTAAAACAAAATTGAAGTTTCAGAAATGAAATTAGAACTCTCAAAGGTATTATTGGGTAGAATCTTTGATCTGTATCTTGGAATTTGAGAGACTTCCAATGACATGATCAGAGCTACTGTGAGGTCTTATTCAGTAATGTCTTTGCTTATTCAGGTGGAGGCCCTGCAAGCTCAGATAGAAGAACAGACACGATTATCCAAGGAACAGGTTGAAGCACTACTAGAGGACAGGCGGATTCACATGGAGGAAGCCCAAGTCCAGCATCAGAGGGACAAGGACAAGATCAAAACTATAACAGATAAGTGAGTATGAGAGAAAGACCATGATGTAGTCATGAGATGAGAAGAGAGAGGAACAATAGAAATATTTTGGCTTTCAGTATGTTGCTTCTTGAAGCACGCAGAAAAGCAAATTATGCAGCCATCTGGTAGTGTGTGTGGAAGATGGAATGACCTACATATTAAAAATCCTATTTCACATTGGAAGAATATAAATTCTTTCATTAGATGAGAAGAGCTAAACTTGTTAGGAAAGCACCTATCTTTTACTTCCATGCTTCTTCCAATTTGCAATAATAATATATAATAAATGTAGGAACTAGGAAAGTAGTTAACTCCACTCGGATCCCTTTTTACAGACTCCATAAGACCCAAAATCTCTTATATGAGAGTACCCGTGACTTTCTCCAGCTCAAGTTTGATGCCCGAGCCAATGAGAAAGCATGGATGGCAGAGAAGGACAGTCTGATGAGGAAACTTGACAAAGATATGGATCAGCTTATTATCAGCAGGGAGCCAGGAAGAGAGAAGAAGCAGAGAGATACCAAGAAGATGCTTCAAGCAGATAATGGAGCTTGGAAGCCCCACAGCAGAGAAATAAAGGTAATTTTTTTGTCCTAGGTAGAGGCTCTTTAACAATTTTTGACTGGAAAATTGCAAGCATCTGGGTTTTGTCAAGATAGGTAGTAGCTAGCAGCTGTTTCAAAGTTGTACTGGCTTGCCATAAGTTACATTGTTGTTAGCACTAATGTAAAAAAACCCTCTCCTGCCTCAAAATCATAATTGCTTACAAATTCCAGAGAAAATGTATAGTTGGGATTTATGGTAGCACTTCACTGTCAGTTTCTTTTATGTCCAGAACAAATCCTTACTTCTGCAAGCCACCTGATATGTGGGCCAACAGTTCTTAAACTGCTTGTTGCACACACCTTTCTTTTAATGTAAATGCTTTCAGCTAATGGCCTTAGAACATAGTGTCGATATCTTTCTTGCTGTGGGTTGGGTAGTGTAAGCCCTCTCAGTTCATGTCCCCCAGCTCTTCTACAGTTGTCAGGATTTTTTTCCCCTTCTAGTATACCTCCAGTGAGAAGTTAAAAGATCTGAAGTGGGTAAACGGCAATAGGGAATTGTTTTCATCTAACACTGAATGTAGATGCTGCTGAAATGCAGTACTGGGCAAGCAGCTGTGAAAAGGGGAATTACAGCATTAGTTGAATATTCCTTTTAAAGAGAAGAGAGAGTTCTTTAACTGATGATGAACAGTCATGCAAAACTGATAACCTAATTAAAAGGTTTTGGTAATAGAAGTGGTGTTAAGAGTATTGTTCTTACCTAGGTGTTTCATTAGCTGTAGCTCCAGCTGTTCATTTTTATTTGCCTGTCATATTGTCAATCTATCACACTTGCTTTTCCAGAGCAGAGGACATGTGAGCGCTGGCTTTTGAGTTGATTCTTTCTGTTCCTCCTATATCCTAGTCACTGCAAGAACAGCTACAGCAGGAACAGCGCCTGTCAAGCATGTATAGAGAGCAGTGTGTCACCCTGGAAGGTGAGCTGGCTAGGATTTGTGAGGAGAGAGATGTTGGCAGAGAACTCTTTAAGGTAATTAGTCTGTAATCATCTGCTAGCTATGTGATGATCTTGCAGCGTTTATTTTGCATACCTTATTGAGTTTTTATCTCCATAGGCACGCTCAGAAAAGATGGGGAAGCGGCTGAAGCTGATGACTCAGCGATATGAGGCCTTAGAAAAACGTCGTAATATGGAAGTGGAAGGCTTTAAGAATGACATTAAACAGCTTCGGCAGAAGCTGAAAGATGTAGAGAAGCAGCTTTTTAAGGTAACAGCTAAGCATTTCTGAGTCAGACTTACTATGGGTTTACCCTATATAGGTGTATTCTCAGTATTTAAATGCATTAGTTCCCTAGAGTTAAGGAAGTAATTTCTTCAAGTTTTCCTTTAGATATTGATATTTGACAAAACTTGCCCTTTTACATATTTTATGAAGCAAAAAAGTTTTGTCTTTGTTAATCAGTCAGACATAAAGCTTGTCAAGAACTGTCCCAATTATACATTAGCTGTGTATTTCTGTTGCAACTCTGAAAGTTCTTATCTGATACCTGTAGCTCACTCAGCTGTCAAAATTGCAAGGCAGTGAAGTAGTTTTGCAGAAGTAAATCCTGCAAAGAAAATTACTAGTTTTCTTTCTGGGGGCCATAATGTTTTGTTTTCCTCCAGTAAGAGGTAGATCATTGACTTAAGTGTTGTGAATATTCTATTTATTCCTTTGTTAATATCTTATTTGTAACTTGCAAAAATCACTGCAGAAGCAATGGCTGGTAGTTGAAGCTGCATACTCTGTAGAAGCTTCCAGATATGTAGATGAACATTGGAACAGCTTAGAAGGGGAGCCACAGCCTTGATGTTGCTTGGAGTTTAGGTTGAGATATTTATCTAATATATGTATGAGAGGATAATCTAGGCATAGCTCCAACTGACACTCCTTCAGGAATCTGGCAGTACCACCAATACACTTGTTTTCTATACTTTTGGTGCACAGTTCAGTTTACTTAGACTAATATATGTGTCTTCACTAAAGGCTTCGATTTTTTAAAAAATTTGTTGGGCTGTGAGGTTTTTAATTCTATAAGGACTAAAGAGCATATGTGAACGGGGAAGAAATTGCCTGCGGGTACCTTCACTACAGACCTGTGTATTTTGTAACTGTGGGTGTGCACACTTTTAACCACAAGAGGGCGGAGGAACAAAATACTTGCTAGAAGTCTTTAGCGTGATCTTCAAATCTTTCTCATCACTTGAGGACAAAATGACTACAGATGGCTAAATTTTCTGATTTGCTTATTAAAATCTTTGACTAAGAACTACATGATGACAATGAGACACTCTAAAGGGTGGAGAGAAAAGAGGGTTTTGAGAGCAGTTTCCAAGGCTACACTGCCAGGGTGACAGGAAATGGCAGCCCTGGCTAGCTTGGTGAAGGGAATTCTGAGTATCCAGCAGCCTTTGTTCAGCTCAGTATGGACCATATGGCATGGGCGTTGTACTTGAACTGCTCCTGAATCCTGTGCAGTTCAGAAGGCAGCAGGTTGGCCACAGTAGTTAAAACACCTCTAGTTCTAGGAGCAAAAGATGACAAAATGTCATCATATCAGGTGAGGTACTTAGAACTAGATAAACGTTAGTTGATAAATATTTAAACTTGCCTCTTTTTGTGGGTGTCTAAATAATACAGGAATTAGAAACGACTCAGCAGGTTATGGGTAAACTTGACTACATTCTATCCAGATTTCTTCCTTGCAAGTAATAGAACACCAAAATATATTAAAGCTTTGTTCTTTATTTTTGGTTCTGGAGAACCTTTCTATTGGTGATATGCATTAGCCTAGTGATATTAGATTAAGTATCCCCTAAAGTAGATAAAGGAGACCTACAGCAGGTCTCCTTTAGAGCTCGCTCGCTCTCCTATCCTCATCTTAATACTAAGTTGTATCTCAAACAGCTTTGTTAATCTGTATTTCTTCTCCTTTTTAGGTGACTCTGAATATTGGACCAGACCAGGATCTTGCAATTCTACATGAGATCCGCCAGGGAAACAAACTAACCCGTAGAATTCAAGGAGAACTAAAAAATTTAAAAGCAAAAATCTATGGCTTAGAGAATGAATTACGGGTCTGCTAAAGCTGAGGTATTAGCTGGCATCCTAGTTTTGGGAATGGGACATTGATAGGCTGGAATTAGTCATATGTGAGAGCAGCTCCTGCCTGTCTGTTTCCTGGCATCCAGTGACAGAAGACTTGAGGAAATCTGCAGTTAATGTTGTGATATTGTATGTGAGCCATTCCTAATGTGCCAGATGATATTGCTGTTTCAGCTGAGAGATGGCACCTGGTAAGACTGATATAGAAAGTACATGATGACTGATATATCGGGAATATGCTTATGACTTCGTCTTACCTTCGTATCTGTGGTAGGGGTCAGTGTATTCACCTTCACCTTTATTTGAAGCAAATTATAACCACATATATGGTTATAATGAAGTTAATAAGCACAGGAGGATCTAGTTGAAGATCTAATTTGCTTGACTGACCTTTTTTTATGTGAGAAGCAGCTTTTAAAATGGTTTAAATGATTACTGGTTTGGTGCTTAGGCACTTCAGGATGTAACTGGAAATTTTATTTGAAAAAGACCATGTATAGAAAGTATGTACTAAAGCATATTAGATCTGACTCTCCCCTTGACAGTATAACTACTTTTAAATGGCTTTCCTTTGCTTGTTTCTAACCTAATTGGGACAAACCTGGCTGATTTAATATGGTGGAAAAAGTAAACCTCTTACAGAACTCATCTGCAAGAACCAGCAACATCAACACTTGTTTTGAATATTTGGGGGGGAGGAAATTACTACACTAGCAAGTGTCATCTCATCCCCTTCCTCCCAATTTATCCTAACACACAGAGGAATCCCATAATAAAAGTTATCTAATATCTTCCTTAACCACTACATTATCTGCCTTTGTAGCTTTAAACAGTATTATGGTTAGGTACCAACAAATCATGGTCAACTTTTGCTACAGCCGTTGCTGCTACTGAACCATAACTGAATTGGAGTGCCTAGTTCCTACATGATAAATATAACTCTAGCTATATGAGAATTATCTTCATAACAAACAGCAGGGCATTGCCACTATAGAAAACAGATGAAGTCATGAAAAGGGTTAGGACATGGCTTCAGCCCAGTTTATAGCTGCGGGTTACTGTTGCTTCAGCAAATCTTGTCCACCTTGTAGACTGAGAGCAGAACTCTGCTGGAAAAGGGATTTCAGTGCCTCTGTCTCCTACTTACTTTTCCTACCTTGTTGAATGTGACAGAAGTGGAATAATATATTTCTGAAGTATAAGCCTACAGGCTACCAGCATTTCCTTTCCCATTGAAAAGAACTTAGTGTCTGAAAGCAGACAGTTTCTTTTGGATGTGGTAGCAGCCATGGAGATCCTCATTCAGTGTTTGGGAGAGGTAGAAGATTTGGAGAAAGAGTGGTTTTTATAGCACCAGTTAAAGCAACGCAGGAGGAGAAATTCCCTTAGGAAGTCAAGGCCCATTTCAATTGTATATCCTTTTTTGTGACTGGCTTGCTGTCCCTTACGGTATGTGTTCTTGAGGTCAAACTTGTCACAAACAGACTTTAGTGTGGGTGGCTGGCAGTCTGCACCTGGATGCTCAACTACTACTACAAGTTAAAGAGGCTGTTTTAAAGTGTATGCACGGATTAGTTTAGCTGCAAATGTGGAACTGTTCAGAACCTGATCCATGAACAACTTGGGTACTGACGCTATGTGGAGAGTTGAGGAAGGTAATTAAACAATGCTATCCATCATTTAGTCTCAGTCTTTCTTAGCAGACTAGTACTTTCTCAGGTAAGTTTAGCTAATTAAAGTGAGTTTGTATGTGAAATAACATGCTACTGATTTGAAGATATCAGTTATCACAGGTCTTGGAAGGCTGCTCCTGAAAATTGCTACATAATGAAGTATTAGCCACTTATTCAGCAGTATCCATCTACTTAAATTCAGCTGATGTGAAGCTAGCAAAAAGGTCTCTTGAACCTATAGAAATAAATGAGTTTCTGTTTATTTTCAACTCTTCCAAGCTAAAGAATTGCCTATGAAATTACATTTTCTTCACTTGAAAGCCATGAAGCGTGTCTGGATAAAGACTAAGCTTTGACACTGAGGTTTGTAAGACTGGGAGGAAGTATTGGGGGAAGAAGGATGTAAATGTTTAATTTCCTGTCTTCCTTACCAGTATTCCTTATTACTTGAAAGACTGAATAGAATAAAATTACAACATTCCTAATATATCTGCTGGTGTGTCAAAATTCAAGTGGAACTTGAACTTTTTTTTCAGTCTGCCACTTGTCTATGAACCATTCTTATTGAGGGGGTGGGTGAAGTGCAGTAGTGCTGATCCATAAATCCATTTTATTTGTCCAAGCACAGGAATTGCGAAGTATTTTACATGCTCTTTATGTGTGATAGTGTGATCATGTAAAATGTTGTTTTCTCTTGCCAAAACACATGTGGACCTTCAATCCAAGAACTGCTTTAGAAAGCCAAGTGTTTTCTACCACTGACAACTACTCTTTAAGATGTCGAGTAAAGAATTATTGGCATTTCCAAAAGGATTTCCTGGGAAAGGTTCCAAGACCCATATTAGTCAATTTTATTCCACAGTTTTGGGGCAGAAAACAAAAATTGGCATTTACTCCAAAGACTGATTAGGGATTTTGCTAATTTGTTAGTAATGTGTGACTTGCATCATTCAATACAATTAAATGCCAGGTTATGTATTGTAGGAGAATTTGAATGATCTACAAAATGGCTGATTCTAGGAATATGGAGACTATCCTACAGAGGATTAAAGGTTAGAACTGGACAAATGTTCTTATTGTGAGCCAAGATACTAAAATGTTTTTTGCATAAATAGCAGAAAAATGAGCAGTAGGGGAAAACTATATTGTTGTGTAGCCTTATTTAGGTATGGAAGGAGTGCGTACATTTCAGAAAAGATGTTGAAATACTGGGTAAGGCACAGAAACACAGATGATTCAGCAGAAGGGAAAAGGTTGTGCAAGAGCTCATATTGTATTACATTAAGAAGACTGATTAATATATGTGTATCTTGAAGATGAAAAACTACCAAAAGCCTCTCTATCCCAGCAGAGAAAGGCTGAACAAGAACCAGGAGCCTGAACCTGAAGTTAATTTAAAAAAAAAAAAATCACACATTTTTAACAGGAAGATTGCTCTTTCTCCCTCATTATAACAAACTATTTGTGGAGGTAAAAAATTCTCCCATCTCTATTTTCACATCAAAAAATGGTTGTACCTCTGGAGAAGGTAGCTTGTTTTAATGTTACTGGGTTTGACATATTAGAACTTAATGAAATATAATGATGTAAACTAACAGGAAATCATTTATTGGCTCCTTCTGGCTTTAAACCTATGATTTATTTATATGTAATATTTGTAGTAGTTTTTCAGCACTCATGCAGTTGCCTTAATTATTGGAATGTATGCTGTCAGCTCACCCTACACAGCAAGGTTATACAAGGTTAAAAAAAAAACAACCCACAACTAAATTTTAAAATCTCCTCATGATCTTATTATACCACAACTTGCAGTAATCCCAAAATTAACTGACACTGTGACTGCACTTAGAAGGGCGGATTGACAGTAGCCACAGTTCTGATAGTTGTCAAAATACATCTGAATAGTAGTATAGTATATACTTTATGCAGTGGTTGTACTTAAATTGCTTATGTAAGTAGTAGTATCGATTCAGAAACATGCACATCTTACCAGTATGGATGGATCCTGTGGGCAGCCTAATATTCTGGAATTGTAATGTCTCTGTGTGTAGGCCGGGAAGTAATTCTTTGGTAATCAGACATTTTGAGACTAGCTGGGAACAGCATCCTTGTGTACTTTGTTCTGGTAGGTCTGTTCACATTTGCAAAAAGCAATGTTGTTCAGACTTACAGCTCACAAACCCATTTAGTTCTGCTACACTAGAATTTATTTGTGCCTGCTCAGTCAAAATCCTAATAAAGATGTCATGTCCTCATGCAAAGTAACATCATAGGCCATTTGTATATAAGGGAAATGTTAAGATTTTTTTTTCTAATTTTCCACAATATTTTGCTTTTATATTCCCAAGTTGCTTTGAATTGTAAGAAATATCCCCTTTACTTCCTAAACAGTTATTTTTAAATTTGACAAGTCCAGCTGTAGAAGTATACACGTATTTTAGCATGTGGACTGGGATTACGTACCAAAATATACTTGGATACAGTGTATAAGGCATAAGAGGTGAAAGCTGCAGTGATTCTTCTTGGCTGCTGTATTCATAGGATTTAGGCACAAAAAGCAAAGTTTGTTTTGATTCTTATGTTGCATCAAAAGTTTAGGACTTTGTCTGAAACATGCCATTGGAGGTAAGAGGAATTTAACCCACTAGCAGGAAACATTTCTGCTATGATGGAAGTATTTGAGAAGAATGGGTAGACTTCTGATATTTCCCATTTAGCACCAAATGAACTGTTTGGAGAAAGGGTATCTATGAATATGAGTTAGAGTAGCTGCCCTTCAGGTAAGCTCCAAAAATATAGCTTTGTAAACAGAGCCCTCTGTGGAGTTAACCATTCACTTATACGGACTAAATTGTATGTTTTAAGAATTATGATGCTATTAGATTGTGGAAAAACGTGTAAATACAGATTATTTGGTTTTATTCAGAAAACCCAGAGAGGCTTTCAATACAGAAGTGTTTCAGTGTTCAAGCAAGACAATGATTATGCAGACATGAAGGCTTTCATTGTTGAAATGGGTTCGATTTGAATAAAAAGCCCTGGATTTACCGTGGTGAAACATATTCAGGATATGCTGGATTCTCCTGTATTGATTGAGATCAAATTGCCTTATTTTCACTGTAAATATTTATCTCAGTATAGAGTCACTTCTAAACTGTCCAGTAAACCAGGTTTTTTTCCTCTTCAGTGCTAGCTTGGGTAGATAGAAGTCTGCTTGGTATCATCACAGGGAGAGATGGTCAGCTTTGCGTTCTGTACTCTCCCCAATAAAATGCCTGTGGCACATCTTTGGAACTTCTTGAAATAAGGATGATGAGCAGAGTCTGGTACTTCTAAGACAGGAAGGAGGAAATTTAGGCAAGACTTGTCAGATTTGAAAATATGAATTTGCAAAATGATCAAACGTAGATATATCTTTCGTTATGGTAAATGTCTGAAGCCTGAAAAGTCTTTTGAAAGTTCTCATCTTAAAGTATACAAAAAACTTTTCTGGAAGTGCAAACATGTGCTCTAGATATTGAGAGAGTGTTCTGAAGTGTGGAAAGCAATTCAGGCCAATTCATGGGGCAGGATCTACAACAAGGAGGTGCTACTAGAGGTGTACTGGGTGAAGTTTGTGTAAAAATGTGTCCTTTGTACAGCAGAAAAGGAAGGGCAGCCCTTTCTATCTTAACTTTATCTGGACAGCTAGGGCTTGAGACCTGTGAAAAGGGAGTTATGCAGTGAAAAGGCAGGATCATGAATGAGGCTTTCCACCCAGACAGGTAAGTTGTAGGAGAGCAATGGTGTGACTGTAATGCTGTCGAAGTCAGAGCTGACAGAGCATAGCCATGTGAGCAGTGAAAGCGAGAGGAAGTCTCAGACCCCAGCTCGGGCCAGCTCATACAAATGTTAGCAGTGTAACTATTGGTAAAAATCACATTGACTGTGTTTGCAAAACCCACTGTATCAGCACAACTTTTGCTAATAGTTTGTTAATTATGGGACCATGCTGATTTCCTTATTGTAATGTGAAACTGTATCATTGACGGATTCTTCTGGGATAGCTCCATCAGTAATGCCATTTAGAGCCCAAGTCCATTCCTGAGGAGCCAAAAAGGGAAATAATGGGGAACTGTGTCTTCAGAGACTGCCTCTTCCTCTTAGAAACACTTCTGCCTTTGAGCCATTTCGATTATGAATGTTGAGATGAAGTCATTGTTTGTGCTTCAGAGCATGGCTGAGGTCAGGAAGAGGGGTGTGGAGCCACCATGGTGGTGAAAGCTAGGGACAGTTGGGTATCTTTGGTGTGGAGCTGGTAATTACTGTTAAAATGAAAATTACACAAGAGGAAAGAAGGGAAGGAGCAAGCAGCAGATAATTGAACCTTTGGGGAGCCTACAGAGAAAGGATGTTGGCACAGAGCTAAAAGTAATTTACAGAACAGAGCAACAGTTGTTAGATAACTAGAAGCAGAAGCATAACAAGAAGAGGAAGGGATGCACAGAGACTGAGCTGGAGAGGGGAGCTGAGGAACAGGAGATGTGTGTCATTAAGTGCTGCACTCCTATCAAAGCCTGCTTTTATCAAGAGGAAACATAGCCAAAACAGAAAACAAACAAAAGTCCAAACAAAGCAAAAAAATACTCCAGTTGGCTTATCTGGCAAATAGTTTCTTTGAAGCGGGTGTTCAGAGTAGGTGAGGAAAGGTGTATCCTGAAGTGAGCAACGATCTGCCCAATGTTCAAGGATGGTCCCTCAGGGCCATCAGCAGTCTCAGCTCCCTGTCTGAGTCATCTAAATGACAGACAGACCCTATTCCTGCATCACTGGCCTCCAGCTCACTTGCTGCTGCTTCCACTAACGGTGGGTGACCCCAGCATGTGGGATTATTATGAGCTGTAGTTTCCACTGCTACCATATTGCACCCAGTGAAGATGAGAGACATGGAGGTCTGGGCACGCATTGTGTGATTTGGGATGCTTAAGAGATTGGGAATTCAAGACTGCTAGTAGACTTGAGATAACCTTTATGTGAGGTGTTTTTAAAAACATTACTGTAAGTGATAATCTTACTCCTGCAATAAATAAGTGGACCATATAATTTACTTTAAATACAGTGTAGGGCTATTTAAATTCCTCATTCCACTATTTATTACATAGGCAGATTAATTTTGTTCCTTAATATTGTTTTAGTGTAGCTATATTATAACAGACATCAACATGCCACACTTATTCCTTCAGATTTTTCTCCAGAGAGAAGAGCTTTTCTGTATCTTTATTATAGCATAGTTCTAGCAGGAAAAAGATTTTGTTTCTTTACAAGTCAACAATACTATTGGTAACCTATAATTTCACTTTCCGCTCCCCTCCATTTTAGTACCACATTCACATGAGGAAAATGTGCTTACTTATTTTAATATTTTAATATGCACCAAAGTTTTAGCAAAGTGCTAAAAGTTATCTTTTGCCAAACTTAAGGTTGTTCATTTAAGAAATGCAGACAACTTCTTGCTAAGAACACATTGTCCAATTCTCATTTTTTAAACAGGAAATAAAGTTTCATCTAGATCTGTATTTATTACAAATTTTCCTATTTTCTCTTTTTTTTTTTTTTTGAGCAAATATTAAAAACTTGGCTTATTTCTCTCATGCTGGAAAAAAACCCAAACCCACGCATCATCAAAAAACTTCAACAGTAAGTGCCATACCCTTATATGCAATTCCTGCCTTGCAATGATTAAACTGGCACACAGCTTCAGGTTTTCAGCCGTGGGGGTACCAGAGGTAGCTGGATATTGGCAGCCCTTTCTGTTTGCAGTGGCAGAAGTAGCACCATGATTCCAGCTCGAGTTGGTGCCACGTGCATCTGCAGCCTCTGGCAAGGTAGGAAGGAGGAACACAAGTGTTACAACACAAACTGCAGTGTTGACCTTATCCCTGGGGAGGCAGAGGAGCCCAGGGGCAGTGCCACTCACAGGCCTCCCCCACCACAGGATTTGTCTCCATCTTAAGAAACTTCATGTCTTTCCACCTCCACAATGAGATATAAAACTCTCTGGATGCACTTTCCCAAACCAGAAGAAATCTCTCCAACACAGGGCTCAGGGGAGATGGCTCTGAAACCTTTGTGAGGCATTTGGAAAAAGGAAACCTATCATCTGTCTGTCCCTCTCAATGTGTGACAGGGCCTCTAGGTGCTGCCTGGACACTGGGAAGAACAGTGTCCAGCACTTGATGCCAGAGACTAGAGATGTTGCTTCTGTCTCCCACCAGTGTAACACTTGGGATGTTGACACTCTGCCAGCGTCAGCCTGTCCCTGCTAGGATTCTCACTGATCTTCGATGGCCCTCCGTGCCATTTGGCACATTTTCTAAGGCTAAATAGTGGGAGTGTCCTTTCATGCAGCCTCCCACTTCAGAAGGCTGCTGTGAAAGGAACCTGGGCCCTCAAATAAAGGTCTATAATTGTTGCAATGCATTTAAAAAATAAAATTCAGCCCTGGGGTTTCTCTTAATGGTTGCACAGAGTCAGGGGCTGCATCTGCGCAGCAGCAGAGCTGTGAAGGTAAAAATGGTCGATGCCAATGACCAACACCCCCACCGTACGTGTGTGGAAAGGGGTTGTTCCGGACTAGCTCCCCAGCTGGGTGCATTACGTACATCCTAGACAGCATCTTCCAGTTTAATTTCACCCAAGAGTAATCCAGTTCGTGTCTTCTGAGACCTCTTGGCGATGTGACACAAACCATCAGCATGCAGGGCGCGGCTGGGAG